ACAGTGTACGAGATGAGGGAAGAGTTTAGTGATAGCTTGAAAAAGGGGGTCCCAAAAGAGGTCCCAAAAGGGGTCCCAAAAGGGGGGGTCCCAAAAGGGGGGTCCCAAAGGGGGGTCCCAAAAGGTTGTCCCAAAAGGGGGGTCCCATCTCCCCATTATCAGGGGAAGAAAGTGTGGTTGAGGCTGAGGGAGACGGAGTGTTGTCGTACCTTAACGGAAGGGAATGTTTGTTAACAAAGTTATGGTTAGAACTTCTTATTAATTTAGACGGAGAGTTTAAGTTTACACTCCTTGTTTGCACTCAGAAGTTGCTTGATGCTTCATCGTCGTCACCTGTCACCCTGAAGGTCAGGCTGTTTGTCACCTGTCACCCTGAAGGTCAGGCTGTTTGTCACCTGTCACCCTGAAGGTCAGGCAGTTTGTCGCCTGTCACCCTGAAGGTCAGGCAGTTTGTCACCTGTCACCCTGAAGGTCAGGCAGCTTGTCGCCTGTCACCCTGAAGGTCAGGCAGCTTGTCGCCTCTCACCCTGACGGTCAGGCAGCTTGTCACCTGTCACCATGAAGGTCAGGCAGCTTGTCGCCTGTCACCCTGAAGGTCATGCAGTATGTCACCTGTCACCCTGATGGCCAGGCAGCTTGTCGCCTCTCACCCTGACGGTCAGGCAGCTTGTCGCCTGTCACCCTGAAGGTCAGGCAGCTTGTCGCCTGTCACCCTGAAGGTCAGGCAGCTTGTCGCCTGTCACCCTGAAGGTCAGGCAGCTTGTCACCTGTCACCCTGAAGGTCAGGCAGCTTGTCACCTGTCACCCTGAAGGTCAGGCAGCTTGTCACCTGTCACCCTGAAGGTCAGGCAGCTTGTCGCCTGTCACCCTGAAGGTCAGGCAGTATGTCACCTGTCACCCTGATGGCCAGGCAGCTTGTCGCCTGTCACCCTGAAGGTCAGGCAGCTTGTCACCTGTCACCCTGAAGGTCAGGCAGCTTGTCACCTGTCACCCTGAAGTTCAGGCAGGTTGTCACCTGTCACCCTGAAGGTCAGGCAGCTTGTCACCTGTCACCCTGAAGGTCAGGCAATTTGTCACCTGTCACCCTGAAGGTCAGGCAGCTTGTCACCTGTCACCCTGAAGGTCAGGCAGTTTGTCACCTGTCACCCTGATGGCCAGGCAGCTTGTCGCCTGTCACCCTGAAGGTCAGGCAGCTTGTCACCTGTCACCCTGGTCAGGCAGCTTGTCACCTGTCACCCTGAAGGTCAGGCAGTTTGTCACCTGTCACCCTGAAGGTCAGGCAGCTTGTCACCTGTCACCCTGAAGGTCAGGCAGTTTGTCACCTGTCACCCTGAAGGCCAGGCAGCTTGTCACCTGTCACCCTGAAGGCCAGGCAGCTTGTCACCTGTCACCCTGATGGCCAGGCAGCTTCTAATTATTATACTGGATACTGGTTATATATATATATATATATATATATATATATATATATATATATATATATATATATATATATATATATATATATATATATAATATGTACACTATATATGTCAACGATATTCTTTGTTTAAGTCTGCGTAAAGGTTAATAATTCTATATCTTTTTCTATAAAAATTTAACTTTCATTTTGAACGTAGATTTTATTAATATTGTTACTTTTTGCCAAATACATTTTTATGCCTTTGTCGTACAATTTCCTTTGAGTTAGCATAGATTTTTGTAATTATTTACACGCCTATGTGGACCGAACCCTGAAGCTGGAATTAATAATTATATTTTTCGATGAAGAATTTCTCTGGAGCAGACGGTTATAATCCTGAGAGTTGGTGCGAGATCAGACCACCGGTAACCCGCCCCAGGGGCCAGATTCACGAAGGAGTTACGCAAGCACTTACGAACGTGTACATCTTTCCTCAATCTTTGACGGCTTTGGTTACATTTATTAAACAGTTTCACAAGCATGAAAACTTCCCAAATCAACTGTTGTTATTGTTATAAACAGCCTCCTGGTGCTTCGGAGCTCATTAACTGTTGAATAATTGTGAACTAAGCCGCCAAAGATTGAGAAAAGATGTACAGGTTCGTAAGTGCTTGCGTAACTGCTTCGTGAATCAGACCCCCTGGGCTCAAGAGTGGAGGTAACTAGTCTGCTAAAAGGAAAAAGTGATACATATTCAACATTGTGAGAGGAAGATTGAGTGAGGGAGGGAAATGGAACGGGAGATCATTGAGAAGGGAGGGGGGGGGGATGGGGCAAATAGAGCACATACGCAGGCAGGGATGGAATGGGTGGAACAGTTGAAGAGATGAGTGGGGGAGGAAGGGAAAGAGAAAGGGGGGGGGGGCGTCACCCTCTTTTGCATACGCGAGTGCCATGTGTCAGAAGGTATTGGTAGTGATCAACCGTTGATGGCCGATGAGGAATCTAAATGCAAATTGTTGTCGAGATCTCCTCTAGTGAACGCTCTGCTGGAGATGTGCACACGCGCGGTCGCACGCACGCATGCCCGCCCACACATACACACACACACGCACACGCGCACACACACACACACACGAGAAGTAGGAGGGAGTGGAGGAAGTAATGTGGTGGAGGCTGACTCCATACACAGTTTCAAGTATAGATATGATAGAGCCCAGTAGGCTCAGGAACCTGTACACCTGTTGATTGACGGTTCAGAGGTGGGACCAAAGAGCCAGAGCTCAACCCCTGCAAGCACAACTAGGTGAGTAGAACTAGGTGAGTACACGGGACAAGACGGGACACCACGAGCGTAGCTCTCATCCTGTAACTACACTTAGGTAATTACACGCACGCACGCACGCACACACACACACACACACACACACACACACACACACACACACACACACACACACACACACACACACACACACACACACACACACACACACACACACACACACACACACACAGGGGACACGGTGGCTAATAAGGTACCAGCGTGGTGGCTAATGTCTAATAAGACATTAGCCACCGCCTTACCTCAACCCTACAAGCACATCTAGGAAAGTGCTCTTGGTGACCATAGGAAAGGAGCTTAAAGGAGGACACGCGAATGTCTGGGAGATGTACAGATGGAGGAAAAGTTTAGAGGAAAACAGTACAAGAAATTAACCTCATCGAATGGAGATGCAAGAAGGCCGAATAGTTAGTAAAGGAAAACGGAAGGGGAGACTATAATAACCCATGGTTTAATAGACTGTGTCAAGAAGCAAAAATGAGAAGTAGGAGGGAGTGGAGGAAGTACAAAGGACAGAGGAAAACAGGAATAGATGCAACTGAGTTAGGAACAAATACGTAAATATAAGGACTGTATCGGAAAGAAATTACGAGACTGATATTGCTATCAAGGCATAAAAGCAACCAAAATTACTACATAGTTATATAAGAAGGAAAATGACAGTGAACGACCAAGGGACAAGACTGCGGAATACGGGAGGGACATGTACAGAAAGAGATAAGAAAATCTGCGAGGTACTGAGCACCAGTTTCCCTGCAGTGTTCAGTACCGAGCCTGAGCAGTTCTCATTGTTAGAAGAGATAACCCCAGGTGAGAGACTAACAAATATAGGTATCTTCCCCCTCTCACTTTTTCCCCTCCTCTCTCCCTCTCTTTTTCTTCCCCCTCCCCCTCTTTCCTCCTCTCCCTCTCTCTCCCTTCCTCCCTCTCTCTCCCTCCCTCTCTCTCCCCTCCTCCCTCTCTCTCCCTCCCTCTCTCTCCCCTCCTCCCTCTCTCTCCCCATTCTTCACTCTCTCCCTTTCGAATCCCTGCCTCTTTCCTTCTCCCCCTCCCTCCCTCCTTGCCTCTTTCCTTCTCCCCCTCCCTCCCTCCTTGCCTCTTTCCTTCTCCCCCTCCCTCCCTCCTTGCCTCTTTCCTTCTCCCCCTCCCTCCCTCCTTGCCTCTTTCCTTCTCCCCCTCCCTCCCTCCCCTGCCTCTTTCCTTCTCCCCCTCCCTCCCTCCTTGCCTCTTTCCTTCTCCCCCTCCCTCCCTTCCCTGCCTCTTTCCTTCTCCCCCTCCCTCCCTCCTTGCCTCTTTCCTTCTCCCCCTCCCTCCCTTCCCTGCCTCTTTCCTTCTCCCCCTCCCTCCCTCCCCTGCCTCTTTCCTTCTCCCCCTCCCTCCCTTCCCTGCCTCTTTCCTTCTCCCCCTCCCTCCCTTCCCTGCCTCTTTCCTTCTCCCTCTTCCCCCCATAAAGTCGTCCTTGCTGCTGACCCACCGAGGAGGACCTGGACACAATAGAGACTTCCCTAAACGGATCTCTCAGTAACTCTCGCTCCGCAAAGTCGACAATCGACACAGGTTATCGACACAAACACAACACTGAAGAAAACAAAAATTCATTGCACCTCTCCTAAAGTTTTCAGTATACCCGGATTGGTTTCCATTTGCTCCTGATGCACCAGGACGGATATAATAGGCTTGTTGATCATTGAAGTCTTGGGAGTGTCCTCCGTAATTTTCGACGTGTTGAGTCATGTCCTTCATGTTCGTAGCTCTTTTGTAGCATGAATATGTTTCCTCATCTCGTCACTATTGGCCAGTTTACCCTCGTAAACAGGATTCAAGGACATATGTATCCTGTTATCCTGGCTGATTAGAACTCTTGGGTAAATGTATTCTGAATAATGCGTGATTAGACCCCCCCCCCCGTGTTCCGTATCTTGTATGATCAGAATCCCTGTGTTCTGTATGATTATAATCCCTGTATTATATATGATCAGAATCCCTGTGTTCTGTATGATTATAATCCCTGTATTATATATGATCAGAATCCCTGTGTTCTGTATGATTATAATCCCTGTATTATATATGATCAGAATCCCTGTGTTCTATATGATCTGAATCCCTGTGTTCGGTATGATTATAATCCCTGTGTTCTGTATGATTATAATCCCTGTGTTCTGTATGATTATAATCCCTGTGTTCTGTATGATTATAATCCCTGTATTATATATGATCAGAATCCCTGTGTTCTGTATGATTATAATCCCTGTATTATATATGATCAGAATCCCTGTGTTCTGTATGATCTGAATCCCTGTGTTCTGTATGATCTGAATCCCTGTGTTCTGTATGATCAGAATCCCTGTGTTCTGTATGATTATAATCCCTGTGTTCTGTATGATTATAATCCCTGTGTTCTGTATGATTATAATCCCTGTGTTCTGTATGATTATAATCCCTGTGTTCTGTATGATCAGAATCCCTGTGTTCTGTATGATCAGAATCCCTGTGTTCTGTATGATCAGAATCCCTGTGTTCTGTATGATTATAATCCCTGTGTTCTGTATGATCAGAATCCATGTGTTCTGTATGATCAGAATCCCTGTGTTCTGTATGATCAGAATCCCTGTGTTCTGTATGATCAGAATCCCTGTGTTCTGTATGATCAGAATCCCTGTGTGTTCTATATGATCAGAATCCCTGTGTTCTGTATGATCAGAATCCCTGTGTGTTCTGTATGATCAGAATCCCTGTGTGTTCTGTATGATCTGAATCCATGTGTTCTGTATGATCAGAATCCCTGTATGTTCTGTATGATCAGAATCCCTGTGTTCTGTATGATCAGAATCCCTGTGTTCTGTATGATCAGAATCCCTGTGTTCTGTATGATCAGAATCCCTGTGTGTTCTGTATGATCAGAATCCCTGTGTGTTCTGTATGATCAGAATCCCTGTGTTCTGTATGATCAGAATCCCTGTGTGTTCTGTATGATCTGAATCCCTGTGTTCTGTATGATCAGAATCCCTGTGTGTTCTAGATGATCAGAATCCCTGTGTGTTCTAGATGATCAGAATCCCTTTGTGTTCTATATGATCTGAATCCCTGTGTTCTGTATGATCAGAAACACCCGTGTGCCGGCTCCTGTAGAGCACGGAGGGAACTTGAAGGAAATCTGCAAGGTATAGTGGATATATGTGCTCCAATGTCTCTGGGGAATAAAGCTTGATCTCGTCATTTCGGCTGAAAATGTGATAAGGCTTTGTGTTGAGGGGGGGATGTGGAGGGGTTGTGCGCGCGAATATGCATTTGATTTTATGTTTACGTGCGGGTTTGAGTGTCTACGTGCGGGTTTGAGTACCTACGTGCGGGTTTGAGTGTCTACGTGCGGGTTTGAGTACCTACGTGCGGGTTTGAGTGCCTACGTGCGGGTTTGAGTGTCTACGTGCGGGTTTGAGTGTCTACGTGCGGGTTTGAGTGCCTACGTGCGGGTTTGAGTGTCTACGTGCGGGTTTGAGTGCCTACGTGCGGGTTTGAGTGTCTACGTGCGGGTTTGAGTACCTACGTGCGGGTTTGAGTGTCTACGTGCGGGTTTGAGTACCTACGTGCGGGTTTGAGTGTCTACGTGCGGGTTTGAGTACCTACGTGCGGGTTTGAGTGTCTACGTGAGGGTTTGAGTACCTACGTGCGGGTTTGAGTGCCTACGTGCGGGTTTGAGTGTCTACGTGCGGGTTTGAGTGCCTACGTGCGGGTTTGAGTACCTACGTGCGGGTTTGAGTGTCTACGTGCGGGTTTGAATACCCACGTGCGGGTTTGAGTACATGTATGCGTGAGGTGTAGTTTTTGGGACTCACATTATAGTTATCAGGTACGTGGAATAATTACTACCGCCCTTATAGTGCTTTATCATGTTAATACATGGCATGTTTATCATGTTAATACATGGCATGTTTATCATGTTAATACATGGCATGTTTATCATGTTAATACATGGCATGTTTATCATGTTAATGCATGGCATGTTTATCATGTTAATGCATGGCATGTTTATCATGTTAATACATGGCACGTTTATCATGTTAATGCATGGCATGTTTATCATGTTAATACATGGCATGTTTATCATGTTAATACATGGCATGTTTATCATGTTAACGCAAAGCGGTGTAAGTTTCTTGTCTATCTTGTGAGCTGGGTTAAGCACATCATGATTGTAATTGGGGAATCAGACGTCATTCCTAATATGTCAGTTTAATCTGTCAACTCTAGGTTTTTGCCACCCATACCTTGAGGTTACCTTGAGGTGCTTCCGGGGCTTAGCGTCCCCGCGGCCCGGTCGTCGACCAGGCCTCCTGGGTTTGTCTAGGCCAGGCCTGGCTATATGACCCATTGGCAAGCCTGCTGTACGGTTTGCCATATGCAGTCTAGTTATCATCGTCGGCTGTGTTTTCTCAGCCGGTAATGTGACCATTATTCCCCTCACTCTATTCCCCTTTCTGCATTCCTCTCTTCTTTTCCCTTTACCTCTCTTACTATGCCCCTTAGGCAGGCGATGAGTCACAATAACGTGGCTGAAATATGTTGACCAGACCACACACTAGAATGTGAAGGGACGACGACGTTTCGGTCCGTCCTGGACCATTCACAATCGACTTGAGAATGGTCCAGGACGGACCGAAACGTCGTCGTCCCTTCACATTCTAGTGTGTGGTCTGGTCATTATGCCCCTTTCCTCCCTTCCTATGGCCCGTTTCCTCTCTTCCTCTGCCCCTTACCACTCTTCCTCTACCCCTTACCTCTCTTCCTGTCCCCATATGTCCATCTAACCCACACATGAACATCTAATCGAGCATTGGTGGAAGGGATTTGTCCTCCCCATCTTTCCCTTGCCTTACGCTCCTATCAGTCTCCTTCCCTTTTCTCTCTCTCTCTCTCTGTCTCTCTCTCTCTCTGTCTCTCTCTGTCTCTCTCTCTCTGTCTCTCTCTCTCTGTCTCTCTCTGTCTGTCTCTCTCTGTCTCTCTCTCTCTCTCTCTCTCTCTCTGTCTCTCTCTCTCTGTCTCTCTCTCTCTGTCTCTCTCTCTCTGTCTCTCTCTCTCTGTCTCTCTCTCTCTGTCTCTCTCTCTCTCTCTCTCTCTCTCTCTCTCTCTCTCTCTCTCTCTCTCTCTCTCTCTCTCTCTCTCTCTCTCTCTCTCTCTCTCTCTCTGTCTCTCTCTCTCTGTCTCTCTCTCTCTGTCTCTCTCTGTCTCTCTCTCTCTCTCTCTCTCTCTCTCTCTCTCTCTCTCTCTCTGTCTCTCTCTCTCTCTGTCTCTCTCTCTCTGTCTCTCTCTCTCTGTCTCTCTCTCTCTGTCTCTCTCTCTCTCTGTCTCTCTCTCTCTCTCTCTCTCTCTCTCTCTCTCTCTCTCTCTCTCTCTCTCTCTCTCTCTCTCTCTCTCTCTCTCTCTCTCTCTCTCTCTCTCTCTCTCTCCCCCCCCCACTCCCTCTCCCTCTCCCCCCCCGTCAGCCTCTCCCCTTAGGCTCTCCCGGCTCTTACCGCAAGCCTCGCCACCACCCGACGACAGCCAATCATGATTCGAAAAGTGGAATAGTCATTTTCCGATTGGTTTGGTATCCGTGCGATAAAGGAGGCTTCTGGTGGAAAAGGAACGTCACTGGCAAATTACGACTGGTAATCCCCCGAGATAGAATATATCTCTCCACGATATCATATTTTGGTTTATATTACGGTTATCTTGAGGTTATCTTGAGATGATTTCGGGGCTTTTTTTTTTTAGTGTCCCCGCGGCCCGGTCCTCGACCAGGCCTCCACCCCCAGGAAGCAGCCCGTGACAGCTGACTAACTCCCAGGTACCTATTTACTGCTAGGTAACAGGGGCATTCAGGGTGAAAGAAACTTTGCCCATTTGTTTCTGCCTCGTGCGGGAATCGAACCCGCGCCACAGAATTACGAGTCCTGCGCGCTATCCACCAGGCTACGAGGCCCCCTATTGGGCCTCGTAGCCCAATTGGTATTGGCTAACGCGTATTGATGGTGTATTAATGTGCATATTGACCTCCGTATATTGGTGTGTTCTGATGTATGAGGGTTTTGGTTTTTGTAAATACATGAAGTTTGTAGGCTATACTTATACATCTTGAATGTGTAGGTTATCTCTGTTATCATTTACGAACTCGTTATCATGTCGCGTCTAAGGGGCTTCATTATTTCCGGCTGTGTAGGCAAGTTGGCTGTTCATGGCCTGGGAGGTCCGTAACATGACCCAAGTTTATGTAGTGTGACAGAGCAGTAACACCAGCAGTACTGTGTGGACCAGTAACACCAGCAGTACTGTGTGGACCAGTAACACCAGCAGTACTGTGTGGACCAGTAACACCTGGAGTACTGTGTGGGCCAGTAACACCAGCAGTACTGTGTGGACCAGTAACACCAGCAGTACTGTGTGGACCAGTAACACCAGCAGTACTGTGTGGGCCAGTAACACCAGCAGTACTGTGTGGGCCAGTAACACCAGCAGTACTGTGTGGACCAGTAACACCAGCAGTACTGTGTGGGCCAGTAACACCAGCAGTACTGTGTGGACCAGTAACACCAGCGGTACTGTGTGGACCGGTAACACCAGCGGTACTGTGTGGACCGGTAACACCAGCAGTACTGTGTGGACCAGTAACACCAGCAGTACTGTGTGGACCAGTAACACCAGCGGTACTGTGTGGACCAGTAACACCAGCGGTACTGTGTGGACCAGTAACACCAGCGGTACTGTGTGGACCAGTAACACCAGCGGTACTGTGTGGACCAGTAACACCAGCGGTACTGTGTGGACCAGTAACTCCAGCGGTACTGTGTGGACCAGTAACTCCAGCGGTACTGTGTGGACCAGTAACACCAGCGGTACTGTGTGGACCAGTAACACCAGCGGTACTGTGTGGACCAGTAACACCAGCGGTACTGTGTGGACCAGTAACACCAGCGGTACTGTGTGGACCAGTAACACCAGCGGTACTGTGTGGACCAGTAACACCAGCGGTACTGTGTGGACCAGTAACACCAGCGGTACTGTGTGGACCAGTAACACCAGCGGTACTGTGTGGACCAGTAACACCAGCAGTACTGTGTGGACCAGTAACAGAGAGGGAGCAAGTAACATGCCAGTCAGTGGACGGGTTTGGAGAGGAGGCTTTGGCTAAGGGGAAAGCGCCAAGCCATTTCGACTCTATAGCACTGGGAAGGGGTCAGGATTTGGGATGGGACGGGGGTAAAGGAATGGTGCCCAATCACTTGTGGACTGTCGGGGATTGAACGCCGACCTGCATGAAGCGAGACCGTCGCTCTACCGTCCAGTTCAGCTTCGGTTGAGCGAAGCTGAGCACATTCTTACCCTCGTCCACATTCTTATCTCCCTCGCGCTATGCCCCCGCTATGCTGTCAGGCCGCGTCTGTGTCTGCCCACCTACTTAGACTCATCGGTAGAGCAAGAACCTTTGCTTCTTGCAGGGTCAGCGTTCGATTCCCAATGGTGCTAGTGATTCGGCACCGTTCCTTCACCTCCTTGTCATAACCATAGTTCCTTGTCTCCATATCCTTAGCTCCTTGTCCCCATATCCTTAGCTTATTGTCCCCATATCCTTAGCTCCTTGTCTCCATATCCTTAGCTCCTTGTCCCCATATCCTTAGCTCCTTGTCCCCATATCCTTAGCTCCTTGTCCCCATATCCTTAGCTCCTTGTTCCCATATCCTTAGCTCCTTGTCTCCATATCCTTAGCTCCTTGTTCCCATATCCTTAGCTCCTTGTTCCCAGATCCTTAGCTCCTTGTTCCCATATCCTTAGCTCATTGTCCCCATATCCTTAGCTCCTTGTTCCCATATCCTTAGCTCATTGTCCCCATATCCTTAGCTCCTTGTTCCCCATATCCTTAGCTCATTGTCCCCATATCCTTAGCTCCTTGTTCCCATATCCTTAGCTCATTGTCCCCATATCCTTAGCTCCTTGTTCCCATATCCTTAGCGCATTGTCCCCATACCCTTAGCTCATTGTCCCCATATCCTTAGCTCCTTGTCTCCATATCCTTAGCTCATTGTTCCCATATCCTTAGCTCATTGTCCCCATATCCTTAGCTCCTTGTTCCCATATCCTTAGCTCATTGTCCCCATATCCTTAGCTCCTTGTTCCCATATCCTTAGCTCATTGTCCCCATATCCTTAGCTCCTTGTCTCCATATCCTTAGCTCCTTGTTCCCATATCCTTAGCTCATTGTTCCCATATCCTTAGCTCATTGTCCCCATATCCTTAGCTCCTTGTCTCCATATCCTTAGCTCCTTGTCCCCATATTCTTAGCTCATTGTCCTCATATCCTTAGCTCCTTGTCCCTATATCCTTAGCTCATTGTCCCCATATCCAAATTCCTTGTCCTCATATCCCTTCCATGAGCTACTTGGTCATTTCTGACCTCCTCATAATTACCTAACTACCTTCAATTGTCTGTAACAATCCCTCGTAGTTCTCAGAGCACCTCGTTGCCTCCAAATGTAAGAAATGTCTTCACTTTATCGAAAATGTTTATGGTGAGTAAATGAGCTCTTCAAGATCCTCTGGACGCATCTGCATCCTTCGGAAACATCGGAATCATATTAACAATTAACTTGGTTCCTCGAACTAGTAAACAGTTTGGTCAAACGATCTCTGTGTCCCAAACAACGACATTTTCCGCCGTCAAAGGCGCTGCGTCTGGCGCTGGAGGGGGCGAAGTTTGAAAATCTTCTCCCTCGGCCAATCCTCCTTCAAGATTTGGCCATTTTTCCCTCGTCCAACTCTTCTCAAAGTGTAATCAAGAAGTTGATTAGTTGAGTTAATTAATAAAGGGAGGAGTAGGCGCCGGGACAGGCAATATGTCTTGGTAATATGCGCTTCCCTTCCCTGCCTCTCCCTTCCCTGTCTCCCTATTCCCTGCCTCCCTATTCCCTGCCTCCCTATTCCCTGCCTCCCCCTTCCCTGCTTCCCCCTTCCCTGCCTCTCCCTTCCCTGCCTCCCCCCTTCCCTGCCTTTCCCTTCCCTGCCTCTCTTTCCCTGCCTCCCCTTCCCTGCCTCCCTATTCCCTGCCTCCCTATTCCCTGCCTCCCCCTTCCCTGCCTCTCCCTTCCCTACCTCTCCCACTTTCCCTGCCTCCCCCTTCCCTGCCTCCCTTACTCTGTTACCCTTGTTGCTTTTATGAGGGGGAGTTCGGCTGTCTCCTCAACCCCCCCCCCTTCTACCTCCACTGCTCTATCTCACTCTCCCCCATTCTCTCTGTCTCGCCCACTCCCTCCCCCACTCTCCCCTATCTCCCTATCTCCCCCCCCCCCCTCCCTCTCCCCCCTCCCTCTTCTCCCTCCCACCTCCCTACCTCTCTATCTGATGTCCCCTCTGGACATCAGAGGTAATATTACCATCACCCCCCCTTCCAGTACCCCGGGCTGCTCCCCCCTCCTCCCCTCTCCTCATGAAGAGCCTGGTTAATACTCCTCCATTTTGCCCCCCCCCCCCCCCACACACACACACACACACAGAGTGTTCAGACCCGCCTGCTGGGATATTGGGCCCTATTGCCTCCCTGTTTATTGTCTCACCAGTGTCCCGTTATTTCGTCAGGTTTGGTTAGGGTGTCCACTTGGATGTGCATGCGGGCGGGGGGGGGGGGGGGTTGAGCTTTAGCTCTGTGGTTCCGCGTCTGGACTGCCTGTCAACTGACGTACAGGTTCTTGAACCTATTTCTGAGCCTACCCTAAACTTGAGTACTGCTCAGTACTCACTTCCCCCTTCAGAGCAGGAGAGATTGCTGAAATAGAGGGAATACAGAGAACATATACGTCACGCATAGACGAGATAAAGCACCTACATTATTGGGACCGTCTCAAAGCTCTCCAAATGTACTCACTAGAAAGGAGACGAGAGAGATACCAAATATACACATGGAAAATACTGGAGGGACAGGTCCCAAATCTACACAGTAAAATAACAATGCACTGGAGTGAACGATATGGAAGAAAATGCAGAATAGAACCAGTGAAGAGCCATGGGCACAATTAGAGAACACTGTATAAACATCAGAGGACCGCGGTTGTTCAACGTCCTCCCAGCGACTATCAGAAATATTGCCGGAACAACCGTGGACATCTTCAAGAGGAGAACAGACTATTTTCTCCAAGGAGTGCGGGACCAACCGGGCCTTGGTGGGCATGTGGTCCTGCGGGCCGCTCCAAGCAACAGCTTAGTGGACCAAACTCTCACAAGTCAAGCCTGGCCTCGGGCCGGGCTTGGGGAGTAGAAGAACTCCCAGAACCCCATCAACCAGGTATCCAGGTATTGGTCGCTGTCATATCTGTTGTGTGGGGGGAGGGGAGGGGTGGGGTGGGGAAGGGGGAGAGGAGGGGTGGGGAAGGGGTGAGAGGGGAGGGGGGAGAGGAAATGTGTTTGTTTTCTCTTTTACTTTTTTCCCTTAGTTTAAGGAAAAAGTTTCCCTTAGTTTCCCTTAGTTTTATATGACAATTGTGGCGGCCGGGCCACTCTCTCTTCTCTTTCCTTCTCTCTCCTTCCTTCCCTTCCCTCTCTCTTCCCCCTCCCCTCCTTCATGCCCCTCTCACCTCCCCTTCCGCTTCCCCCTCTCCCCCCCCTATCTCCCAATCTTTTTCTCGGAGTGACGGTCTCCCTTCATGCAGGTCGGCGTTCAATTCCCGACCGTCCAATTGGTTGGGCACCATTCCTTCCCCTCGTCCCTATCTCACCCCTTCTTCCCCAATCCCACCCTCTCCTCCACTATCCCACCCTCTCTCACCTTCTCTATCCTCCCCCCATCACCTAATCTGCCTCCTTTTCCCCAACCCAAATGAATTCAGGTTGATGGGGAGTAAGCATTATACTCTACGGAATACACGTGTTATATTTTATTCCAACCTTCTTGAAAGTCGCTGGGGGGGGGAGGGTGCACTTAAGGTGCCGATATTTCTTAAAGTATGACACTTGGGCCGACCCTGACTGACCTGTGACACATCTCTTCCCCCATGATTCATGAGGTGAGGTGGCCCCCATGTCCCCCAAGCGCCTGCGGCCCCCATGTCCCCCAAGCGCCTGCGGCCCCCATCCTCAGACAGACAGACATTCTGTTTTATAAATGTAGATTCTACTTTAATTGTAGCAATAGCAGCGAGGACGGCATTGGAAGGAAAGGGAACTATCAGGCAGGGAAAATACCAAGCCATTACGACTAGATAGCACTTGCAAGTGGTCAGGATAAGGATTTGGGATGGAACGGGGGAATGGAATGGTGCCCAACCACTTTTGAACGGTCGGGGATTGAACGCCGACCTGCAATGAAGCGAGACTGCTGCTCTACCGTAGAAAGATACGAAAATGGTATAAATGAGGCTGTTATGGTTGTCCTTTCTTGTTTTTCCTTCTTTATCACCAATTTCTTGTATCTTCGCTCTTCTTTTATCTACGTTTTCTGTTCCTTCTTTAGTGACTTGACGCCATTGAAGTAATGATGGCGGACGATGTTTAATTTGTACATGAATAGACACGCGTCTATTATGTCTATTCCAGTCTTGTGTCTATCCACGGCACGTCTGGGCCGTGGGGGCACGTCTGGGCCGTGGGGCACGTCTGGGCCGTGGGGCACGTCTGGGCCGTGGGGCACGTCTGGGCCGTGGGGCACGTCTGGGCCGTGGGGGGCACGTCTGGGCCGTGGGGCACGTCTGGGCCGTGGGGCACGTCTGGACCGTGGGGCACGTCTGGGCCGTGGGGCACGTCTGGGCCGTGGGGCACGTCTGGGCCGTGGGGCACGTCTGGGCCGTGGGGCACGTCTGGGCCGTGGGACACGTCTGGACCGTGGGGCACGTCTGGGCCGTGGGACACGTCTGGGCCGTGGGACACGTCTGGACCGTGGGACACGTCTGGACCGTGGAGCACGTCTGGACCGTGGGACACGTCTGGACCGTGGGACACGTCTGGACCGTGGGGCACGTCTGGGCCGTGGGACACGTCTGGGCCGTGGGACACGTCTGGACCGTGGGACACGTCTGGACCGTGGGACACGTCTGGACCGTGGGACACGTCTGGACCGTGGGACACGTCTTGACCGTGGGGCACGTCTGGGCCGTGGGGCACGTCTGGACCGTGGGACACGTCTGGACCGTGGGGCACGTCTGGGCCGTGGGGCACGTCTGGACCGTGGGACACGTCTGGACCGTGGGGCACGTCTGGACCGTGGGACACGTCTGGACCGTGGGACACGTCTGGACCGTGGGACACGTCTGGACCGTGGGACACGTCTGGACCGTGGGGCACGTCTGGACCGTGGGGCACGTCTGGACCGTGGGGCACGTCTGGACCGTGGGACACGTCTGGACCGTGGGACACGTCTGGACCGTGGGACACGTCTGGACCGTGGGACACGTCTGGGCCGTGGGACACGTCTGGACCGTGGGGCACGTCTGGACCGTGGGGCACGTCTGGACCGTGGGGCACGTCTGGACCGTGGGGCACGTCTGGACCGTGGGGCACGTCTGGACCGTGGGGCACGTCTGGACCGTGGGGCACCTCTAGACCGTGGGGCACGTCTGGACCGTGGGGCACGTCTGGACCGTGGGGCACGTCTGGACCGTGGGGCACGTCTGGACCGTGGGGCACGTCTGGGCCGTGGGGGGGCACCTCTGGGCCGTGGGGGGCACCTCTGGGCCGTGGGGGGCACCTCTGGGCCGTGGGGGGCACCTCTGGGCCGTGGGGGGCACCTCTGGGCCGTGGGGGGCACCTCTGGGCCGTGGGGGGCACCTCTGGGCCGTGGGGGGCACCTCTGGGCCGTGGGGGCACCTCTGGGCCGTGGGGGGCACCTCTGGGCCGTGGGGGGCACCTCTGGGCCGTGGGGGGCACCTCTGGGCCGTGGGGGGCACCTCTGGGCCGTGGGGGGCACCTCTGGGCCGTGGGGGGCACCTCTGGGCCGTGGGGGGCACCTCTGGGCCGTGGGGGGCACCTCTGGGCCGTGGGGGGCACCTCTGGGCCGTGGGGGGCACCTCTGGGCCGTGGGGGGCACCTCTGGGCCGTGGGGGGCACCTCTGGGCCGTGGGGGGCACCTCTGGGCCGTGGGGGGCACCTTTGGGCCGTGGGGGGCACCACTGGGCCGTGGGGGGCACCACTGGGCCGTGGGGGGCACCACTGGGCCGTGGGGGGCACCACTGGGCCGTGGGGGCACCACTGGGCCGTGGGGGCACCTCTGGGCCGTGGGGGCACCTCTGGGCCGTGGGGGCACCTCTGGGCCGTGGGGGCACCTCTGGGCCGTGGGGGCACCTCTGGGCCGTGGGGCACCTCTGGGCCGTGGGGGCACCTCTGGGCCGTGGGCATCTCTGGGCCGTGGGCACCTCTGGACCGTGGGCACCTCTGGGCCGTGGGGGCACCTCTGGGCCGTGGGCATCTCTGGGCCGTGGGCACCTCTGGACCGTGGGCATCTCTGGGCCGTGGGGGCACCTCTGGGCCGTGGGCATCTCTGGGCCGTGGGCACCTCTGGACCGTGGGGCACGTCTGGACCGTGGGGCACTTCTGGGCCGTGGGGGGGCACCTCTGGGCCGTGGGGGGCACCTCTGGGCCGTGGGGGGCACCTCTGGGCCGTGGGGGGCACCTCTGGGCCGTGGGGGGCACCTCTGGGCCGTGGGGGGCACCACTGGGCCGTGGGGGGCACCTCTGGGCCGTGGGGGCACCTCTGGGCCGTGGGGGCACCTCTGGGCCGTGGGGGCACCTCTGGGCCGTGGGGCACCTCTGGGCCGTGGGGGCACCTCTGGGCCGTGGGCATCTCTGGGCCGTGGGCACCTCTGGGCCGTGGACCCCATTAACAGCTCAAGGCGACCAATATTAATGGGATTTTAATGTATTCCTCTGAGCGGAGCAGATAACTCTTCTGTTATCTAATTTGTTGCCACCATTAAGGAAATTCGAAGGGAATTTTCCGATAATAATGATAAACAATATTATTTAAGCTTTTTTCAGGGAAATTTGGGTACGATAATTATTTTATTTGGCTTGGGAACTTAATGTTTAAACTTAGTTTAAGTTTTAAACTCTAGTACTCCAGGAAGCATAATATGTGTGAGGCTCCTGCTAAAAAAAAGAAAAAAGTCCACTACGGGCTCACCATAGCCCGTGCTACTTGGAACTTTTTGTTCCAAGGAGCGAATCTTAAACAACAACAACAATCCTGCTAAAACAATGACAAAAATATATATATAATTGGTCGACCATCTGGGGGGCCTGCCGGCTGAGTGGACAGCGCTCGGGATTCGTAGTCCCAAGGTTCCGGGTTCGATACCCGGCGGAGGCGGAAACAAATGGGCAGTTTCTTTCACGCTAATGCATCTGTTCACTTTGCAGTAAATAGGTACCTGGGAGTTAGGCAGCTGCTACGGGCTGCTTCCTGGGGGTTGTGTAACAGAAAAGGAGGCCTGGTCGAGGACCGGGCCGCGAGGACGCTAGGACCCGAAATCATCTCAAGATAACCTCAAGATAACTTAAAGAGACCCTGTAATGTGTGTACTATGCAATACTGACACCTGTATCTATACAATATACAACACTATCAAGATAACACAGGTGTGAATAATTACACATCAAATAGGATACAAAGTATAATGATGTATGCTGCCCAAAGTCATTGTAGTGTGTAATGTGTAGTGTGTAATTACACAAGAAAGATGACACAAAGGCAAAAAGACATGCTGACCTGTGCAGCAGTCCATCCTGCAAGAGGGAACAGCATTTGTAACTGTAAAACTTGACTATCCCTTAATCGCGGATAGTCACAATTTGAGCTTAAATCAATCTGATCATCCCTGTATATTCTAAGCTATAACTTGAGACGTATTTCATTTACTTCTATCCCCCCTTTTGTCAATATATCTAAATCAGCCTAGCCAAACTACCTCTCTTAGGCAGTTTGACTGCCTAGGAGTGGTCGACAAACATGTGGTCGACAAACATGTGGTCGACAAACATGTGGTCGACAAACATGTGGTCGATAAACATGTGGTCGACAAACATGTGGTCGACAAACATGTGGTCGACAAACATGTGGTCGACAAACATGTGGTCGACAAACATGTGGTCGACAAACATGTGGTCGACAAACATGTGGTCGACAAACATGTGGTCGACAAACATGTGGTCGACAAACATGTGGTCGACAAACATGTGGTCGACAAACATGTGGTCGACAAACATGTGGTCGACAAACATGTGGTCGACAAACATGTGGTCGACAAACATGTGGTAGACAAACATGTGGTCGACAAACATGTGGTCGACAAACATGTGGTAGACAAACATGTGGTCGACAAACATGTGGTCGACAAACATGTGGTCGACAAACATGTGGTCGACAAACATGTGGTCGACAAACATGTGGTCGACAAACATGTGGTCGACAAACATCCACACCACCTTTTCATATTTATTTATAATATTAAACCTAATAAATATAGATTCTTGGAGGCTGGGGGGGGGGGGGGTATGGAGAATAGATGCAAAGAGACTTTGCATCTATTCATGCAGAGGAATAGGACAATCGACTTGAGAATGGTCCAAGGGCCAGATTCACGAAAGCACTTACGCAAGTACTTACGAACGTGTACATCTTTCCTCAATCTTTGACGGTTTTGGTTACATTTATTAAACAGTTTACAAGCATGAAAACTTCCCATTCAACTGTTGTTATTGTTATAAACAGCCTCCTGGTGCTTCGGAGCTCATTAACTGTTTAATAATTGGAAACAAAGCCGCCAAAGATTGAGAAAATATGAACAGGTTCGTAAGTGCTTGCGAAAGTGCTTTCGTGAATCTGGCCCCAGGACGGACCGAAACGTCGTCGTCCCTTCACCTTCTAGTGTGTGGTCTAGTCAACATTCTTCAGCCACGTTATTGTGACTCATCGTCTGCAATAGGACAAGTTGCTTATCGATGGTACCGATAAGCAAGTTGCTTATCGATTAGTGTGGAGAGATGATCGTGAAGCAGTTAATTGTAACTCTGACAAGAAAGGTTACCAGTGACATTCCAGAAGTAGTAGTTTAATTTGAAGGGAAATCATTGGCCAAGTTCTTAGATCCAAATTGCTTCAGACTCGCGACCCGCCCACCTGTGATAGACAGTTACACAGGTAACCCAAACCCACTTGAGACGAGCCCAAGACGGACCCAAAATGTCGTCCCTTAATTTTTCTTCTCGTTTTTGCTTTCACCAGGCGCCGGCGAGAAACAATGGGCAGAGCTTCTTTCACCCTATGCCCCTGTTACCTAGCAGTAAAATAGGTACCTGGGTGTTAGTCAGCTGTCACGGGCTGCTTCCTGGGGGTGGAGGCCTGGTCGAGGACCGAGCCGCGGGGACACTAAAGCCCCGAAATCATCTCAAGATAACCTCTCAAGATAACAGGAGCAGACTATTTCTGACTCGTGTTAGCAGGCTGAGAGCCTTCGCCTCCTCCCATACCTCACTGAAACACTTCCCGACAACCGGTTAACAACCTGGTACACCAAGTACTGCTGGGTAACATGGGCGAACAGTTCAGGAGTGGCACCAAGTCAATCCTCCCTGGCTAGGACTCGAACCCAGGACAAATTACTTGCGAGGCGCGGGTCGTGCGTGTCACCAATCTAACCCAACCTACCGAAAGTAAGAGATGAAAAACCGTGTTTTATACATGGTGTTTGACGTCACAGTGACGTCACCCAGAGTCATCTAATTACCGTTGTTGGCATAACTACTCGTCCAACGACCCTCATCCTACCTGCGAGACGACCCAACTGTCGTCTTAATAACATCTCCCCCCCCCCCCCCCCGTCACCTGACCTATGACCAGCTGCTTACCCAACGACCAAATAGCTCTCGTAACGACCCCGCTCCCTCACGCGCTAGACGACCTAACTGTTCACGTAACGACCATACAGCCCCAATAAACTTCTCGGACAGAATCACTATAGCGGGGGCCACAGTTGCTGTAACGAGGGAATGGCAGGGAAGTTGGTAGAGGGGGGCGAACTACTGAAGTCATAGTTTCCCCTTCCGGGGCCCCCTTCCATTTCTGCTTTCCCCGATTTTCCCCCTTTTACCATTCCCTGCTCTCCCTTCACACCCCATCACCTCAATATACTCCAAACTCCCCCCCATCTCCTTCCACCATCACTCCCCTCCCCCCCATCACCATTCCCCCCCCCCTTTCCCCTCAAACAACCCAGGCCTACAGTAGTTGGAGGTCGTTGAGGAAGCCTAAAGCTTCTCTCTGTCTTTGGTTGATTTTTGTTTGGCATTGATTTTATCCTTAAGCACTTAAGTGCAGAATACCAAAATTCCAGCTCACCCAGGTAGCAGAGCTGGTGTTATTGGCTTGGTAAGAATGTACCACTTAATTCTTCTATATCCTCTTGTATATAAATATATAAATAAACGGGAGTATGATAGATAAACGGGAGTATGATAGATAAACAGGAGTATGATAGGACAGTCACTAGTAGTCACGTTTTTGGCAACAGGAACAGAACAACATTATCAGGAGATCCTCAGGAACACGAGAACATTTACAGAACGTTAAAACATTATGAGGATTTCCTCTAGAACTGGAGAATGTATGAAGCAACTGCACATCTTCAGGCATCTCCCACTGGCAGGTCTGAAGGGCCTATGATGATTGGGTATTCATCATTCGTGTGTGGGAGATCATGTCCCAGTTCCTGCTCACAGAGTTTGCAGTTGGAGTGCTCAGGATTGGGAGATCCGTCACCTGTAGCCACCTGCCACAGGTAACGGTAGCCACCTGCCACAGGTGACGGTAGCCACCTGCCACAGGTGACGGTAGCCACCTGCCACAGGTGACGGTAGCCACCTGCCACAGGTGACGGTAGCCACCTGCCACAGGTGACGGTAGCCACCTGCCACAGGTGACGGTAGCCACCTGCCACAGGTAACGGTAACCCAACCTGATCCTGGCAACCACTGTGTCGCACAGTCTGGTGGACGTTTTGTGCTGCCCATAAACATAGGTTTCAGATCTGAACAAATCATAGTTATTGGTAATAGTTTTCAGCCAATATTTCTCTCATACCTGAGTGTTTGGATAATATATATAACTTTAACCTGGTTATAGTTTAATTGTATCTTTATTACTGAATTTTGTGGCTGTGTCATACCTTGAGGTTACCTTGAGGTGCTTCCGGGGCTTAGCGTCCCCGCGGCCCGGTCGTCGACCAGGCCTCCTGGTTGCTGGACTGATCAACCAGGCTGTTGGACGCGGCTGCTCGCAGCCTGACGTATGAGTCACAGCCTGGTTGATCAGGTATCCTTTGGAGGTGCTTATCCAGTTCTCTCTTGAACACTATGAGGGGTCGGCCAGTTATGCCCCTTATGTGTAGTGGAAGCGTGTTGAACAGTCTCGGGCCTCTGATGTTGATAGAGTTCTCTCTCAGAGTACCTGTTGCACCTCTGCTCTTCAACGGGGGTATTCTGCACATCCTGCCATGTCTTCTGGTCTCGATGACACATGATGAGTTAATCATGTAACTCACAATGTGTCATCATGAGTGTGAAGCCCTTATAAAGAGCAGCGAGCAGGGGTCCAAGTGCTTTCTTAAGGCTGTTAATGAGCCTTAAGACACTTGTCCTGTAGTGTCCTGCAGTGACGGTTTAAGGTGATGATGTTTAAGGTGATGATGTTTAAGGTGATGATGTTTAAGGTGATGATGTTTAAGGTGATGATGTTTAAGGTGATGATGTTAAAGGTGATGATGTCGAATGTGATGATGTCTCTGGATACACTGATGATGTCTCTCTGGTCACTTGAGTACCATTATGTTATTACTTGGGACAATGTCTACTTTCACTATTTTGACAATAATTTATCCTACATCGGAATTTAAAAAAAAAACATTTCTTAATGTTTTATTGAGTGTTCATTGTAAAAGTAAAAACAAGATTTATATATTATTTATAATTTCTTGTATAATGTTGCAAGTGGAGTATTTCTATTGCATCCAAAGTAATGATGGTCTCTTAGGTCTCACTTCATGCAGGTCGGCGTTCAATCCCCCGACCGGCCAAGTGGTTGTGCACTATTCCTCCACCCCCCTCCTCCCCAAATCCTTGTCCTGACCCCTTCCAAGTGCTATATAGCCGTAATGGCTTGGCGCTTTCCCCCCTGATAATTCCCTCCCTCCCTCCCTCCTTCAGAATCTAAACCATTTTTCTATGCAAGGTTGAGCTGTTGCATCAATGGCTTTAATATTGCTATGGGTCATTTCGAAATTTGGTGAGGTGATGATTTTCAAATTTGATGAATTTGCCTTTTGGTGAGCTTATCATGTTTGTCCTTAAAGCTGGCACTGTTATTCTTACCTATGAAACTAAAATTCAAATTTAAAATTATCTTCCATGTGTATTTTCATACAAGTTTGATCTGATTTATACTGTGCTAAGGCACACTGCTTGTCTAAATGGTGCTTGCTAAGTTATTTTAGCGAATATTTATTTTGCGACTAAAAAAAGGGGTCTACGTTCCATTCAGTGGCTTTTATGGCAATGCGCTTGTGTTTACTTTAGTGTTGGAGGGACAGGCAGGAAAAGCCGCTCAGGCTATCAAAGCGAGGCGAGTCCGCGAGGGATTATTTTGTGTGTACTCTCCTGATCATGCCCTATCCTGCCTACTTTTTTCCTGCCACCAATGTTTGTTGATTAATTAAATACGTTTCATGTGATTGGCAGGAGTGGTGACTGTGGGAGTTGGTGGGTGGGTACTGTGGGAGGTGGTGGGTGGGTACTGTGGGAGCTGGTGGGTGGGTACTGTGGGAGCCGCTGTGTGGGTACTGTGGGAGCTGGTGGGTGGGTACTGTGAGAGCCGCTGTGTGGGTACTGTGGGAGCTGGTGGGTGGGTACTGTGGGAGCCGCTGTGTGGGTACTGTGGGAGCCGCTGTGTGGGTACTGTGGGAGCTGGTGGGTGGGTACTGTGGGAGTTGCTGGGTGGGTACTGTGGGAGCTGGTGGGTGGGTACTGTGGGAGCTGGTGGGTGGGTACTGTGGGAGGTGGTGAGTGGGTACTGTGGGAGCTGCTGGGTGGGTACTGTGGGAGCTGGTGTGTGGGTACTGTGGGAGGTGGTGAGTGGGTACTGTGGGAGCTGCTGGGTGGGTACTGTGGGAGCTGCTGGGTGGGTACTGTGGGAGTTGCTGGGTGGGTACTGTGGGAGTTGTTGGGTGGGTACTGTGGGAGCTGGTGGGTGGGTACTGTGGGAGCTGGTGGGTGGGTACTGTGGGAGCTGGTGGGTGGGTACTGTGGGAGGTGGTGGGTGGATACTGTGGGAGCTGGTGGGTGGGTACTGTGAGAGCTGGTGGGTGGGTACTGTGGGAGCTACTGGGTGGGTACTGTGGGAGCTGGTGGGT